AACCTTTTCTTTCTCTTTGAGCCTGGCTAAGAAAAAAATATTCATGCTAAGGTGCCAGCATTTTTAACCATCACTGCTTCTGCACCATCAGTGAACACATAAGTGCACTGAAAAAGGCAAATAAAATCCTAAATTATTACAAAAACACATTTGACTCATTGACCTCCCTGAAAATTCTCAGGGACCCCCTCTCTCTCCCACCACCAGGGGCTCCTCAGACCACACTTTCAGAATAGATATTTTGCCATAACTAAAAAGGATGAACTGTGCATCATACAGACAAAATGTTGAACAAAAGAAGTGTGGCACAAAGGAGAACATACCATATAATTCCATAACTCCCAAGAACAGGCTAAAGTACTCCACAGGTGAAATCAGAAAAATGACTATCTCTGGGTAGATAGGAGGAGATTAACTGAGAAATATTATGGTGGGGAAGGGGATCACCTACATCTTGATTTAGGTGGTGGTTTGTGCATATTACCATATGAATGCTATACCTCAATAAAAATATAAAAAGAAGTAATACAAGCAAGTTCCTTTTTAACAGTTTTTTTTCCACCTTGAACTTAAATTTCAATTTCACCTCCCTACAGAATTATTATTCTAATGAAATACATTTCTATACTTAAAAGTCTTTTTTTATTAAACATACTCTAATACTTCTCCACAAAAATACGACAGGTATACTCTCAAGTAGGTCAATTTTAGGGAAGAATTCATAATGAGGCTAAGAACCTAGAAATTTTGGCTTTAAGATGATGGACCATAATACTCATTTGGCATTTCACACCTTAATTGTTAAGTACCTTTTAATCTATGTATGTCTTATTTTACTAGAAGGTTAGTTCCTTAAAGGCACAGATGCAACTTGGGTCTTCCATGGCCCAGGTCCTGGCACACAGTAAGTTACTCATTCATTTTCTCATTCATCATGTAAAAGAAAAATTATTTAGCATTTATATGTAAGGTACTTGCAAGGGCTTGTGCATATGGTGGGTAGTGCAGGGCTCAATAAGTTCCTGTTGATAATTGATTGATAGTTATCAGCTACATTACACAGAAAATAATGTAATTCTCTTTTCTCCTGAACTCTAAGTGCAAGTGCACCACAGGTCTTATTAGCTCTGTTGTAAAAACGTGGACACTAAGACACAGAGATTAATTAACTGACTCGATAAGGGTCATGCACTTCATCATGAGTCAAGAGAGGATTAAAACCCTTACAGGTTCTTTTCCTGGACTGAGGTGCTAAGGGAATTATTCAGATTGACTTAAATTCATATTTCATTTAAATGCTCTCATTTCACTTCTGCTATATCCACCTCTCTGACTCATATTTCAGGACCTGCAGTCTGAATTGGTTTACTTCCACTTCAGACACTGTCAAGATAAATTAGACACTGAGGGTACATGACACCATCAGAAGCAAAAGAGCTACTAGTTGAAAATAAATAAGCAGCTTTGTATTTCAATATAGTATAGCCCTCTATTGGTGAACCTATTTTCTACTAAAAATAAAAATGGGGATAATAAACCTGGGTGGATTCCGAAAAGGTTTTTTAAAAAATTAAAATTTGATTTTACTATACATCGTCAGGCAAGTATAGCCAAATGAAGGCAGGTAGTGCTAAGTATTTTTGTCTCCTGACAATGAATCTACAAACTGTTCTGCTGAATAAGATCTGGCAGGTTCCTGACTGTGAGCAGAGATAGGGTACAACTCTGATGATACATAATTTTGTATCAGATAGAGGCTTCCTATTTGCTGTAATCATCCATCCATAGCCTAGCCCACTCAGCTGACAAGGCATGTTATTAATAAAATGTACTGTATCACAAGTGTATTGCCCTACATGGTGTTTATCTTGTTGGAAACTGTAATTGTCTGAAACAATGGCTTTTGTGAAAAGATGTGATATGTTATGAGTTGGGTAAAGATCAAAATAATTTAGACTAATAATGGTAGTTGTTTGTGAAGGATTAAAACATGGGTTATGCTGCATAGACTTAATGACACGGCTTTGCTTTTAAGTTTTATGTCCATTCTGGTCCCTGTGAGATAACCCTGAATTTCATGCCAAGCCTATGGAGAGACAAAGTTCCCTCACCAGAATGTAAATCCACTGAAGGCAGAGAACTCTTGAGTTATTCACCAATGTCTTCCTAGCACATAGGGCAGTACTTGGAAGTGAGTCAACACTTAATATTTATTAAATGAAAAAATATTGAGTATAGGAAAGAAATGGAACAAGTTTCAGGTTCAAGCCTGCCATTATCAGATTTCTTGCAGGTTGTTACTCAGAAAAATAGAGACCCAATCTCTAGGAGATTGGTACTGGTGAAGAGAAAGAAGGCAAAATGGAAGCAGTCTAAAATCAAGTAGCTGAGGATACCACATGGCACTCCCCCAATGCAGAGGCAGACAGAGAAGCCCCAGATACAGAACCCTGATAGGATAAGATAAAGCTTGACCTTAGCCCTCACCCTCAACTCCTGCCCAAGCCCCACTGCGTAGGATTTGGACAAGTTCTTGCATTTTTCAATCTTTCAATCTGGATTCTCCTGGGACAAAAAAAAAAAAAAGGTGTGGCAGTGGTTTCATATCTCTGATTCTCACTAATGGAGTACTTAAGTGGAACAGCCTGCAGATGGGATATGTGGCTTCAGGACTAATGTGAGGAGCTAGGACAAGCACAAGGTCTTAAGTAGGAAGACAGATAGAAGGCTAGGGTCCAAAATAGAGCTGAATTACTTCTTCACTGGGACAGTAAAGAAAGAATATGGAGGAAGATAGAAAAATTAATATGTGCTGAAGGGGAGTACATCAGAAAGATTCTGAAAGATGAAGGAACCTATTGAGAAAGAGACAGAAAGAAACACAAAGAGGTGGTAGATAATATTCCTCTTCCTTGCTGGATGCCCTACTGAATTTGATGCCAAGAAATGCAGAAGCTATGTTGTAGCCTTTAAGGAAGATGGCAGGAGAAAGTATCATCATCTGAGGATGGCAGAACAGAAAGAAGAAATCCACGTGGGTCTTTGAGGACATCCTTGAGTTACTCAATTAACTAATAAAGGACCACTTTTCTCCAAATATATTTTATGAGACAATGAATTTCTTATTTTTCAAAAGTCACCTCTAGTTAGGTATTCTGTTGCTTGCAGTTTTGTTAACAGTTTGATCTTTTCTAGTAAAAGAGAGCATGTGTTAAGAATGTGCAACATAGAATTTGAAAAGTTTGAAACATATTTCAACTTTCACCTATAGTTTCCCTCCATTTTCTTCTCCCTTCCCACCACCTTCTCTCTCCTACTGGACTCAGAAAAGGCCCAGGAGACACAGGACAGGATGCAAAAAGACTTCTCCCATCTTAAGACTTAGTCTTTCTTCCTGGCTCAAGGACAAGCACAAGCTCACTGTGGTTGGCTCCTTCTTCACTGAGGACATGTTCTGTCCCAGAAGTTACTTAGTCACTCCAGTAAACAAGCTTTTGGGGCCTTGCCTCATCAGTTCCACAGACATCCTGAGACACGTCTGCTACCCAAGCTACAGTTCAGGCATATGGGGGGAGCCCTAACCACAGGACCATTCTGTATCCATATATAGCAGTGCTTTTTGGCCCTTGAGCAGAAATAGAGAATGCAAATGGCCAAGAATTAAGAATGGGAATTGGCACAGGCATAGGGGAAGGTCTGCATGCAGCAGTTAGCATGGTTTTAGCAGGTTATAGCCCTTATGAAAACCATATAGAACCCAGCATAGAATTCTGCATCTACAGAGTTGGGCTCAACACATATGTACTAAATTTAACTGAAATAACCAAGTTTTAGACTGAAAGTCAAATGGCTTCTTTTTACAGAATCTTCTGTTCAGAGTGCCTTTTAACCACCACCACCACCATCCCACCCAAAACAAATCCTTCATCTCCATTAAATAGGTTTTCACCTCAATTATCTATGTTTATTTTTATAATATACTTTGAGATAGGGAGCAGTAAGAATAGTTTTAACTTACCAGGAAGGGACGAAGACACAAAGAGATGATCTGACTTGGCCACATCCCAGAGGGCATCAGTGGCAGAGCTAGGAAGGTCTCTAAGTCCCTGGGGGCTCCCAAGTCATTGTTTTGATGTCCCTGTATGTAATTGTTTTGATAGCAATTTCCCTGGTTCTCTCTCACTAGCCTGCTAATCACGCATGTCAGTCACATTCAGGACCGCCATGGGCCTAAGGGTTAGCCACAGTCTCAGGAGGATGTAACTCAACATATAAAACAAGACACAATAGAGCACTTTCTCCTTCAAGCGTGTATGTCAATTGTGGCCTGGTAAGTCTGACAATGTGTGAAGGAGAGTGTTGCCTTTGTTTTTCCCCCAGTTGGAGAAAGGATATAGGAAGTATTCTGATCACAGCTGAAAACTCAGTGAGAAATCCACTAGTTTACGATCCTCCTACTAGAGAACACTCAAGGATACTGAAAGAGCTCTCCACCCAATCTCTAAAGAACCAGGAGGGATGTCCTCTTCCTCCCCGTCCAGGTCTCCGTAGCTTCACTGCAGTCGGTGGGCAGGCCTGGACGGTGGTGGACAAGTAGGGCAAACCTTGACGCAGATGCTAACTTCCCTTCTCCTACAGACCACTTGGCCTTCTTTCCTCATTTCACTTTCACTTTAGAGAGCAGCCTCAGGGGCCCAGGAGTCCGGTCCCGGCCCGGCCCTGGGAAACGCCGGGAGCGCGGGATGGGAATGGGAGCGTGAGCGCGCGCGAGGTTGAGGATGTTCTTGTGAGGCGTGTGAGGCGTTAATTCTGGAATGTGCGTGTGAGCGGCCCTCGAGCACCGCCCGCGCGCCGCCGATTGGCTTGGGGCGCGCGGCGGGGGAAGCCCTTGGCTAATCTCCTGTCACTCAGCCTGGTTGACGTCGGTGCCGGGGCCGCGGAGCAGCGCGCGGAAGGACAAATAGTCCCGGCGGCTGTGCCGCGCGTCCGTCCACCGCTCTGCTCGCCCCGCCCGGGGCCGCCGGGGCCAGAAGCCCGGGCGGGCGCGGGAGGGGTAGCCTCGGAGGCTCCTCGACCCCCGCTGGCCTCTCCGCGGCGGGCGGGTGGATTGCGCACCCTCGGGAAAAGTAATTGGATTCCGGGTTCCCTCCAGCTGGGATCGGCGGAAATCGTAGGCTGAGCCTGCAGTTTGGGAGAGGCGGGTGGAGAGAAGAGGAGGGGTCGGGCAGCAGCAGACGCCCGAGAGGGAAACTTGGTGAAAGCGTCAATATTCCCTGAAGTGCTGGAGTGCTTGTTTCCGTACAGGCCGCAGTAGAAAGCTAGGTGGTAAAGAAGGATCACCGGAGGTTGCCCCTGGTGCCCTTTTCTGCCTTCCTAGCTGTCATCATTCTGAAATCCACCTGGTTACTGATGCCCGAGAAAAATACTTGGGTCGTTTGAGTCTTTCAGACACAGGTACTTCTTTTTTTCTCTGAGCTCCACTTGGAGCTGAGATGGAGAAAGAACCCTGTCAAATCTGGGATTGGAGATCTCTCCTCTTAACGAGGTAACTAAGGAGAAGCTAGCAATCCTGCCAGAATCATCAAGTCCTTGCTTTAGCAGTAACGAACTTCCCCAAATTCTCTCTTCCTTAAGGAGATGGAGCAGAAGTGGGACCCTTAAGCAGAGTTTTTGGTAAAAATGATAGGAACGTTCTAGGAATTTAAGTGACTAGCTCAACCCTCTTGTGATTTCTTTTTTCATCTCATTTGCTGCTTTTCACACATTCACCATCCGACAAGCTTTTACTGGGGGCTTTTTATGCGCTGTTGTACTTACAGAGACACATCATTGAATAACACAAGCCCCTGCACTCGTGGAATCTCATTACAGTTCCTCCAGTGGGGCAGCAGACAATACATTCACAGATAGATAAACAATATAATGTCATGTATTGATAAGTGCCATGAAGGCAGGTGGAGTAGGACAGACAACGATGCAGGTGGGAGTAATGTGTTATTTTACATTTTAGGTGAATTAACCTAGAAACGCCTCTTTGATGAAGTGGTCTGAATGAAATGAGGGAGAAAGCCAAGTAGATGTCTTGGGGAGGAACTACCCGGGCAGAGACAAGAGCAGGTGCAATGGTTCTGAGGCCCAAGAATGTTTGGTAAGTTTGAATTAGTAAGAAGCAAGGAGGCCAGTGTCCAACTTGCCAGAGTAATATTGTAAATCTTCACTTTTAACACATTTCTTCCTGCTTCAATTGTTTCATGGCTTTATTTTCTATTCCATTAAATTTAAACTGCTGACTGATTTTCAAACTCTTGTTCCAATTTAGTTCCCTCTTACCCTGTGAACTACTCCTCAGTCCACCCCGTCAATTCTAGTTAGTTGTGTCCTTCAACTATATTCATGTTCATTTATTCATATGTATCTTTGTTTATGGATCTACCCTCACGCAACTTAGGACTGATTCAGTAAGGATCTGTGTTTGCAAGTCACATAAAATCCAACTCAAATTAGCTTAAACAGAGAAGGGAATTTATTGACTCACATAACTGAAAAGTTTGAGATATTTTTGTTAAAAATGGATGAAGAGTTCAATTTATGTCTTCAAGATTTGGATTCTCCCTGATATGTTAGTTATGTCCTTTGCTGTTGGCTTCATTCTCAGTGTCTACAAATGAACAACTAGTAGCTCTAAGCCCACATTGTCCTCACTACCCATAAAAATCACCCATCTGTAAACAAATCACTATTGCCAAGAGATGCTCAGATTGGCCTGGACTAATTCACAAGCCCATCCCAGGAGCTGAGCCTATCAGTAACACATGAATGGCAGAAGAAGGTGATTTCACTTAGGAAAATAGGAGTATGGTTATCAGAGGAAAGGGGGATATATCCTGGGTAATGGAAACAGCAGACGTACCACAAATACCTGTTCTTCATTTGATGTCCCCAAACATATGCCTTCAAAAATGTTTATATCAAGTCAGTGCAACAATATTCTTTACCACCAAAAATATACTCACTTCCTCCCCAAAGACAGAAGATCCAAACTCTCATCTAGCTATAGCAGATAACTCCAATTCCAGGATAGCAGGGCATTAAGCACGTTTCTCCAACATGCAGCAATATAGTTCTTTGTGGTCTAGTAACCTAAGGCTGCGGGATAAAATTAGCTACAGAATACTTAATATATAATGACAGAAAAAAAAGACCACTGTAATGAAAACATAACTGGAAAAATTACTAATGGCAAACACACAGTTCATAATACACATTGTATCTTGCTGGACAGGCATAGCTAGGGCTTTCTACCATGAGAGGAGAAAGTTCTTTGATCAACCCATCTGGGTGCTATATGTTCTACATTTGGAGAATCCAGCCATTGTTCCTCCATGCTATATGTGTAATAGACAATAGTGAGGATCATCTTTCTAGGGACTACTGTTCAGCATTCTGCTTCCTGATATAGCAGGGATAGAAAAATCATTTGCTATGGCAGGTATAACTAGCTTTTACCACAAAATAGATGTGATCCTCTTCTGTTAGGTAGAGTTGTTGCTAGGAAGTAGCTGTATAGCCAAGGACTGTGTTCCCCCCGACTTCCCTGTTAATCTTGGTAAAGTCATCTGACTAATTATCTCCATTGGAATATGAGTGGAAGTGATGTGAATCACTTCTTGCCAGTGTGGTTAAAAACTAGATATGCCTCTTCTGGTCTCTTTCTTCTCTTCTAGCTGTACTGAAAGGAATCTAAGACCCTGGAGAATAGTCATGGGAGAGCCATGAAATGGATGGGGTCTGGGTAGCAAAATGGCCTTGTAGAAGACCACCTGTTGATCAGGAAAACTGACATGAACCATACAAAAATGAAAAACAGCTGTTGTGTTAAACCACCCAAACTTATGCATTACCTGCTACACCAGTTAGTGCTAAGGCTAGGTAACCTAGCCTTTGTTCTCCAGATTTAGGGTTTCTCTCACAATTCAATTTCCTTATTTCTTTGTAAGCTTCATTCAGCCTATTTGCATCTAGCCAATTCCATGGGGGGAAAAACTCCAAAACCAGAGGTCATCGTAAGCTGCAGTCATGCATCTAGATTCCAGTATGGATATTTTCGTCTTTTAGTAATAGGCCTTGATATTCTCCTTACTTAATGGCCTCCATTTGGTTTCTGCCTCGAAACAATAGCTACTGATTTTACAAGGGCGTGGGGGTTCGGGGAGATGGCGCAGTGCTGCTGGAGAGCAGAATGTGATAATTATTACCTTTCTAATCAGGCAGAAAGAGGCCTTCCTTGAGAGAGGGCTGGGTGTGTTCAGATTTCTCCCAAGTGCCAGTCTTTTCCTTTATTTGCCATTAACATTCTCTTGGGGGCTTTTCCAACACTTAGTAGCCCCAGATTATTGAAGTTTCTGTCATATTTCAGTGTAGCCCATAAGCAAAAATGGTCATTCATAACAAAGCAGTATTTTTTTCTTTAACTTAGATAAATCAAGCTCAATTCTAAACTTGAGTCTTTCTTGTAAGACCTAACTAAAAGCCAACATGTAATAGTTGGTGTATTTTAGTATCTGACCTTTCAATAACAGGGCTTTTGTCTCGCCTGAAGGGGATTGCCCCCTGGCAAGTTCATGCTGGATTTGGTGAGACCAAATGACAACAATAGAACATTAGGGGTAAAAGTGTTTATACCCAGCTTTATTCTCATGGTGGCAGGTTGAGTGCTAGAATTACACCTGCCTCTGGGGCAGTCTGCATGCAGCAAGCCCATCTCTGTCTTTGCTTCCAGGGAGAGCACTGGGTCAAGCTCTTTATCTAGTAACACTAACAATAATAGCTGATTGCCAACGGGTGTGGAAGCATAAGCCTAGCAGTAAGCCAATTACATCATCAAGTAGTTAAGGGTCAGGTGAGGATCCTGGCCATAGGAATTTTTATTTTCCCTACACTGCCCTCCTCCAGGATTCTCTCCTCACAATCTACCCACCGTCAATATTCTGTGATGGTTCCTGTGTAAGAACACTGGAGCTTTATAACCAGAATCCACAACTGCAACAGAGGATAGCAACAACATAAGTATAACAATGAAAATTACAATACAGATAACAACATAAATTATAATAATCCTCAAGCCTGAAGAAAATGAGTGCCACCAAGTGTTCATTCCAGCTGTATTGAAACCAGTCCCAGTTCATGATTCACACTTTCCATGGGAGTCCAATAGTGGTACTGATAGGGAACTCTGTGCACACCAAGGAAGTAGCCAGTTTTTACAAGCGTGTGTACTCAATCCGCAAAAACATTAGAAGATATTAGCCAGAAGGGCAATAAGACACATATTTTAATGACACTAATGTAGGCAAATTTTGTCCATCAGGTAGCATGCATTAGTGGTCCTGTGATAGGACTGTGGTAGGAAGGGGGACCCATCCAGGTCTAGTATACCATACCTTGACCTTCTCCCTGTGGGGTTTACTGAGGGGTCTATATATAGTGCTACTGGAGGTGCATGCACTGGCCATAAAGATAAAATAAAACTCCCTGGTAAGATGCTCTTACCTTCCTGATGTTTAGGGTACTACTGTGATCTTTGGTGGCTACTCTGCTGTTACTCCAGGAGTACATCGGAGCCCAGCCTCCAGGCCTTGTCCCCAAGGTGCCAGGAGGGCCAGCCATTGCTGGTCCATGTGTTGAAATGTCCAAGGCCACATCCACTCAATGGAGTCTCCAGGGTTTAGTGCAGTTGGTGCTGGCAGCAAGGTATTTTTCTGGTGGCCAAACCCCAGCTTTAACAATTTCTCCTTGATTTCTACTTGTGGTTGTATAGGAGAGGCAGCAGTGTATGTTAGCACATCTGCAGGGCTTAATGCCTCTTTCTGGGGCTTTTCATTAGTAACCTAAGGCTGCGGGATAAAATTAGCTACAGAATACTTAATATATAATGACAGAAAAAAAAGACCACTGTAATGAAAACATAACTGGAAAAATTACTAATGGCAAACACACAGTTCATAATACACATTGTATCTTGCTGGACAGACATAGCTAGGGCTTTCTACCATGAGAGGAGAAAGTTCTTTGATCAACCCATCTGGGTGCTATATGTTCTACATTTGGAGAATCCAGCCATTGTTCCTCCATGCTATATGTGTAATAGACAATAGTGAGGATAATCTTTCTAGGGACTACTCTTCAGCATTCTGCTTCCTGATATAGCAGGGATAGAAAAATCATTTGCTATGGCAGGTATAACTAGCTTTTACCACAAAATAGATGTGATCCTCTTCTGTTAGGTAGAGTTGTTGCTAGGAAGTAGCTGTATAGCCAAGGACTGTGTTCCCCCCGACTTCCCTGTTAATCTTGGTAAAGTCATCTGACTAATTATCTCCATTGGAATATGAGTGGAAGTGATGTGAATCACTTCTTGCCAGTGTGGTTAAAAACTAGATATGCCTCTTCTGGTCTCTTTCTTCTCTTCTAGCTGTACTGAAAGGAATCTAAGACCCTGGAGAATAGTCATGGGAGAGCCATGAAATGGATGGGGTCTGGGTAGCAAAATGGCCTTGTAGAAGACCACCTGTTGATCAGGAAAACTGACATGAACCATACAAAAATGAAAAACAGCTGTTGTGTTAAACCACCCAAACTTATGCATTACCTGCTACACCAGTTAGTGCTAAGGCTAGGTAACCTAGCCTTTGTTCTCCAGATTTAGGGTTTCTCTCACAATTCAATTTCCTTATTTCTTTGTAAGCTTCATTCAGCCTATTTGCATCTAGCCAATTCCATGGGGGGAAAAACTCCAAAACCAGAGGTCATCGTAAGCTGCAGTCATGCATCTAGATTCCAGTATGGATATTTTCGTCTTTTAGTAATAGGCCTTGATATTCTCCTTACTTAATGGCCTCCATTTGGTTTCTGCCTCGAAACAATAGCTACTGATTTTACAAGGGCGTGGGGGTTCGGGGAGATGGCGCAGTGCTGCTGGAGAGCAGAATGTGATAATTATTACCTTTCTAATCAGGCAGAAAGAGGCCTTCCTTGAGAGAGGGCTGGGTGTGTTCAGATTTCTCCCAAGTGCCAGTCTTTTCCTTTATTTGCCATTAACATTCTCTTGGGGGCTTTTCCAACACTTAGTAGCCCCAGATTATTGAAGTT